CCCAATTTCTTCAGTAGTCATTAAGTTGACCAACAGATGATATTTAAAAATCAAAACCAAAGAAGTGACTGCATTTTGAATACAAACCTTGAATGACAGAAATTATTACAACCACTCCAAGTAGCTGAACTTCAGCTCTTTTCAGCATATATACTTAGATAATCAAGAGTGGCATCACAGCTGAGTGAATGCCACTCCGGCAGACAGCCCAGCAGCCACACTCTGAACACTCACTCTCAAATGGATGATCAGTCAGGCTGCAGCCTCTGTTTCTTCCTGTTCATGTTTCTAAAGTAGCGATCACTGTAACAATCAGTGTAAGTCTCTTTATGCTAGTTTTCGTCTTTGCTTTGTGCGGTGGTCTTTGTGTAATACCAAGACAAAGCTCATATGTGTGGCCTCATAAGTACAGGGATAAAATATGAGACAATGCCTTTTAGGTCATTTTACGGCGTCACATTAAAGTAATTTAATGAGTAATATAAGGAATTACTTTCTCCTGGGAGTAATTAAGCACTGTGCTGAATTATTTTTGAGAAAAGTGTTCAATGTAATATGTGCAATAATTACTTTTTTGGGTAATGACCCCAACATCGATCACAACAAAGAGTGGAAATACCTCCAACACAGAGTCACCAAATTCTTATCAGTCCTCATCACTAGGTAACTCAAACATAACTCGATTTTAAGACCACTGCCACTTTACTAGGCACACCTGATGAGCCATCACATCATTAGTGAAGCTACAGACTGAATCTGCCAGCAGCAACAATCCCAAAGCTATTTCTCTAATTGCATGTTCTACTTTGATTTGTAAAATTTGGTTTACTATGTAAGAAATGCATGTTGGTATACATATGCCAGAAGCAAGATTTTATAAGTTCAGAATGGGTATTAATTTATAATTTACATAAATTACACATTAGAAGGCTGACTGAGTCACATAGGTATGTATCGCAATTTTTTATTTATGCACCAGTGTTTCACACTTTATTTTTTTAGTTGTTCATATTTTTGTAGTTCAATATAAGAACCTTGTTCCTTACATTAATATCATAAACTTTTTTTTCAGGAGTGGATCCATTTCCAGATCCCTGCATGTTCAGAATAACAGAATCATACACAAAATGTAATATTGAGGACCAGTGTTGGTCAAGTTACTTGAAAAAAGTAATCAGTAACTAATTACTGATTACTTCCCCCAAAAAGTAATCTCGTTACTTTACTGATTACTTATTTTCACAAGTAATTAGTTACTTACAGTGG